GGGGCAGGAGAAGGATGGAATGGGGGGTAATCTGAATCTGCGTATGACGTCACTCCGCTGGGCCCCCCAGCAGCCCTCGAAAGTGGCGACAGTTTCGCAGATCGCAGCCTCCCAGGGATGGTGAGGTCTAATCTGAATCTGCGTATGACCCCACTCCGCTGCCCCCCCATCCCCCCCCAACAGCCCTCAACAGTGGTGACAGTTTCGCAGATCGCAGCCCCGGGATGGCGAGGTCTAATCTGAATCTGCGTATGACCCTACTCCGCTGGGCTTCCAGCAGCCTTCGAAAGTAGCGACAGTTTCGCAGATCGCAGCCCCCCAGGGATGGCGAGGTCTAATCTGAATCTGCGTATGACCCCACTCCGCTGGGCCCCCCAGCAGCCTTCGAAAGTGGCGACAGTTTCGCTGATCGCAGCCCCCCAGGGATGGCGAGGTCTAATCTGAATCTGCGTATGACGTCACTCCGCCGGGCCTCCCAGCAGCCCTCGAAAGTGGTGACGGTTTCGCAGATCGCAGCCCCCCAGGGATGGCGAGGTCTAATCTGAATCTGCGTATGACCCTACTCCGCTGCCCCCCTCCCCAGCAGCCCTCGACAGCGGTGACAGTTTCGCAGATCGCAGCCCTCCAGGGATGGCGAGGTCTAGTCAGAATCTGTGCATGACCCCATTCCGCTGGGCCCTCCAGCAGCCCTCGACAGCGGTGACAGTTTCGCAGATCGCAGCCCCCCAGGGATGGCGAGGTCTAATCTGAATCTGGGGCGGCCTCCTGGGGCTCTGTTGGGGCTTCTTGGCTGCGGCTTGGGCCGTCTGGAGGCAATCTTGGGCGTCTTGGAGTGATCTTGCGGCGACCCAGTGCCTTTCGGACGGTTTCGGGCGCGTCTCGGGGCTTTCTTGGGGCGTTCCTGGGGCGTTCTGGAAAGCCCGGAAGGCAGCGCCGAGGAGGAAAACCATCTCTGGGATCAACTTGGCCGGGACCTGCCTGGGGGTATTTTTCGCCCGGGGGCCCCCAGGGGCCGCCCTGCGCGCGCGAACTAGGAGATTATTAACCAGTTGCCGGAGATCTTAGCACGCCTCTGGCCCGTTGGGCCTGCGAATTTCCGGGCGCCACCGCCTGGGCTTGCGCCGACGATCTCGCGTTGGTGCTGGCGAGCGCGCGGGCGCACCTCGGCCGTGCGCAGCACTTCTTCGACGAATTTCGCAAGATGTCGGGTTTGGGGCTGAATATACAGAATTCAGAAGTGGTCCCTTCCTCGTCCGGTCCTCGTGGTGCGTCGCGGTCGTCCCCTTCCTCGTCCTCCTCCTTCTCCCAAAATAGTCCGCTGGGGAAAAACATATCCCGGCAAAGCAACCTAACAGCGATGTGTAGGAGCATATCTGGAAGCATTCCCCTTAAGATTCAGATGAGAATCCAGTTGTAGAATTCTGCTGTTCTCGCAGTCGTAGTCGCATTCGCGATGACAGTCGCAGTGGCAACGGCAGTCGCAGTCACAGCCTCAGCCTCAGCCTGCCTCAGCCTCAGCCTCAGCCTGCCTCAGCCTCAGCCTGCCTCAGCCTCAGCCTCAGCCTGCTTCAGCCTCAGCCTCAGTCTGCCTTCAGCCTCGGCCTCAGCCTCAGCCTGCCTCAGCCTCAGCCTGCACCTCAGCCTCAGCCTGCCTCAGCCTCAGCTCAGCCTGCTTCAGCCTCAGCCTCAGTCTGCCTTCAGCCTCGGCCTCAGCCTCAGCCTGCCTCAGCCTGGCCTGCCTCAGCATTCAAAATGTGGCCCGGGAATGGAGTTCTGGGAACTCGAAGAACACGAAGTGGCCTACAGTTGGCTCCGGGCATTCAAAATCATGGCCCGGGAATGGAGTTCTGGGAACTCGAAGAGCACGAAGTGGCCTACAGTTGGCTCCGGGCATTCAAAATGTGGCCCGGGAATGGAGTTCTGGGAAGTCGAAGAGCACGAAGTGGCCTACAGTTGGCTCCGGGCATCCAAAATGTGGCCCGGGAATGGAGTTCTGGGAGGTCGAAGAGCACGAAGTGTGTGACTGTTGGCTCCGGTTATTCAAAATGTGGCCCGGGAATGGAGTTCTGGGAGGTCGAAGAGCACGAAGTGTGTGACTGTTGGCTTAAAACGAGCCCGGTACTGTTCCCTGTTCTCCTCCCCGGCACCCGCCCAGACCCCCCTGAGGAGTCATGATGCTCTCTTTTGACCCTACTAGAAACCTATCAGCAAACGCTGTTAGGTAAAATCAGAAGTGGTCCCTACGGATCCATGTGACGAGGAGCGAGCGCGGGCTGCAATCAGCGCTGGCGCGCCTGGCTGGGGAGGCGCCGTGGTGGCCGCGGCGGCGAAGAACCTGGGCGTCTACATCGGCCCCGGTCGTGGGCAGCTGTCCTGCGGGACCCCCATCAGTAAATATTTGACGCGAGTCAGCGGGGGCAAGTGGGCGCAGGCCTCCTTATTTCTCTGAAGGCGCACCGAGTGTACATTGCATCCGTCCTCTTATTCCTTCAGCAATTAGAAGTGCTGCCGCATGACTTCGCGCTCACAGAAGCCACAGTTTGCCGACGGTTAATCCGCGGCCCGATGGATTGGATCACCGCCGACGCCCCCCGTGAACTCCGCACTGTGGGCAGCGCAGACCAGCTTGTGCACGTGGAGTCGATTGTTTTTGCAACCAAGGCGCGTGTGGTCCGTTACGAATCCAACGGTTCCCTTGGGATCCGGCGGGGTGCGACGCATAATTATGCAGCGGCTCTCTTGCGCCTTCGTCTCTCGCGCGGGTGGCGTGGCTGAGCGAGTGGCACAACGGCAGCTTTTTGATGAACCTCAGCAGGGCCGACGAGCAGGTTGCGGCGGTCCGTCGCCAGCAACCGCACGCAGAGCATTTGGAGTAGCGTTCGGGTTGGCAACGGTTCGCAGTCAACCAGATCTACGGCCAACCGCGTGCACAAACAAGTGTTCACCTGCGTCGCACACTGGACCATTGGTCTCTGGATGTTTCGCCTGGCCGCCAGCTGGAGTCGCTCGTGCGCGTTCTGCGGATGGTGAGTGCCCGCTGTCTACCATGCGTCCGGGCTGCAGCGTTTCGCCTCTTCTGCAACGGTTGGTGCACGAGTGCCCGTTTTGGTGACCAGTGCCCATGCCGATTTGCATGCGGGGCAGGGGGAAACACTATCACGCACTTTGCACACTGCCGCGCTGTCCGGGACCTCTTCCACCAGAAAGCGGGAGTGGAATTTGCGCCAGGTGCGCTCGCATTGGATGATTTCCTTGGCTGAAGGGGGGGACATTCCACACGGAGGAAGCCACTATCAACTGGGCGGTGGCGGTGTACGCGCTGTACCGGGTGCACACCGGCCGGCGACACCACCTCTTCGAGACGAGCGAAATCTTGCGCGCCTTCTGCGAAAACTTGAGGGAGGGGCGCAGCGGCGAAGGCACGGACGCGTGAGTGAACGAGTTGTTTAAAATTCTCCGCGAGCCCCGCCAATGAGGTGGTTGTGCCCCGTCGCGGCTGGGCCGCGGCTGGGTGATTGCCACCTCGTTTGGGGAGCTCGGCCTGTGCGGGTGGCTGCAGGACCGTTGCGTCGGGAATCCTGCGCCCCCACCTGTTCCTTTCCTGTTTCCTGTCTCTGGATGTTTGCCGAGTTTGAATCCGCCAGAGAAACCTACCATGCTCAGTCAAAAAATGGTCGGTTTTCCTTTTTGGTGCTGTGTCGCTCTCTCTCTCTCTCTCTCTCTTTTTTTCCCCCTCCTCCCCTCCCCTCCTCTTTGTTTCAATCGTAGCGCAGTTTGTTCAAGCGGGCCTGAGGGCCCGCAGTGCAGCCAATTATGGTGGGATAGCGTAACCCCATTAGAGAAAGTAGCTACCGCGACACCAGGGCAATTATTGTCACTGGTGGATGTCCTTTCCCTCGCACGGGGTGGGAATCGCCAGCCCGCATTGTTTTTGTGCGGGCAGGCCGTCCACGCTGGCAAGACGGCCCTGTGCCGAGCGGCGGGGTTCGACTTGACATAGCCGCCTCCCCCCCTTTCCCTCCGTCCTTCCTTTTTTTCCATTTGCATGTGCATGTCTAGGGATACATCTTAGTTGTTGCATTTCGGTGATGTTCTTCACCAAGGGCTCGCTGGCCACACTTGGTCCGGCGCTAGGCAAAAGGCTGCATGTGTCGCTGCCTATTTGTGTTTTCCTCCTCCTTCCCCTTCCCTCTGGTTTTCTGCGTGTCGTTGGGCGATGTTGCTCGCGAGGGCTTTTGTGCGCGAGCCGCTCACCAATGCCGGTCTACGCGCGCGTGAGGTTCTGGATTGCCTCTTGCTTTGCTTTGTTTCTTCCCCTCTTCTCATAGCGGCTCTTTCTTTGGAAACGAAAGGGGCGCGCGCCGAAATGTATTCCAGACGAACTTGAGGTTTTTTTAAGCAAAGGTTTCAGTGTGCAGGCGCGCCCTGCCGCGCAGTGGTTTCCAGGCACACCTTAGAGCGTGCTGACGCGTAACGCGAGGCATCTAGTTTGCACGTTGCGGCCGCGGAAATGTTTGTTTCAAAAAGGGTGCTCTTCAGGGGGCATTGCAGGCTGGCCTACGCGCCCAGCACTGCATGCTTTCAAACAGGAAAAATGTTGCGCCACTCCTTCGGAATTCGGCGGCTATTTGGGGGGCCATGACGGCTCCAAAAGATTGTCCTCGGTGTTTTTTGCTGTTTCTTGCCCCTGTCTCCTCGTGCTCCCTGTTCGAACGGGGTCCAGATTTCGACTGGTAGGACTGGCATTTTTAAAATGGGGCGCGGCTCTGTTGGCCCAACATATCGCACGCTGTGTTTTGCTCTCCGCCGTCGGCTTCCTTCTGTCGGGACGGTTGCCACGGGAGCGTTGTCGTTCATTCGTTTTCGCCGCCCGGGGCCTTGAGCACTCAGACGGTCTCCAGAGATCTCGAACAACCCCCCCCAAGAAACAAACATTGCCGTTCGCCCACGCACGAGAAACAAGAAACACTGCTGCCTTCTCTCCACCGTGCGACGGCCTCGCTCGAGTCTCGAGTATGCCGGCTCGAACCCCCCCCCTTAGCGGGGAGGGCCCTTTCCCCTCGGCGTGAAGTTGGGCTTGTCCCTCTACAAGACGAAAGCGAATAGTAAAACAATATCCTGGGGATGATGTTTTCAATTATGTTTGGATATTTGTTGAATCTGTTTTGGGGTATTTACCATTTTTCGCCCAGAAGCCGCCTGTAGGGGGGGGCGCGCTCGACCTAACCTTCGCGGGGGGGGGGGACCCTTCCCCTCAGAAGGGGGCTGGCCAGGCGCCCGCGTCGCTGCGGCCGCGCCGCCCCCCCCCCCCCGGCCAGTGAGCGCCGTGGCTGCCGCCGCGGCCCGCCCGTCGGGCGATGACGGAGGTTCCGCAGGAGGACCCTGCGGGGCAGCGCAGAAGGGGCGCTCGGGAGCCTTGAGACGGGGGTCAATGCAAACGGGGTCAGCTAGAGCGCCCGATCTTGCAGGATCCTGCAGGGCCCGCATTGACCCGGGCTTGGGCGCAGGATCCTGCAGGATGTTGCAGGATCCTTCGCGTTGACCCGGGCTTGGGTGCAGGATCTCGCAGGATCGTGTAGGATTCTGCAAGGCCTGACTGGCCCGGGTCTGGATTAACCCGGGCCATGAGATCCCCGAGGCGCGGCCTTGGCTTCGGTGGCTTCGGGTTCCTCAAAACAGCGTGAATCCGCGCTTGGATCCCTTCCTATCTGTAGGCCCCCATCCTTCAAGACCCCATCTTTGAACCACCGACGGCTCAGGAGGGGAAGAGATACCCAGAGCGCGGCCTTGCCCTCGCCTCGAAGAGTAAAGGGCTACATGGGCATACACTTTCGGAGCTCCGGCCGGATTTCTTGGATCGGCGCTGAACCCCCCTGGCGGCACCTGCAGAGCTCCCTTGCTTGGCGCCCTCTGCGCGCCACGGAGGGGGTCCAGTGCTGATCCAAGGAATCCGCGCGGACCTCCCTCCGAAAGTGTATGGTTACGCCGCTTATTGCTCTTTCATGAGAGCAAGAGGTGCCCATGCCGCTGCCCTGTCCTCGTCACCACGGCTGGATTCGCCTCGGAGTTCTGGCCAGCACGCACCCCCGTATCTGTATCCGTTCACTCCCTCACTGGCGGGGGCGCTGCGGTCCAGGGGGTGTGGTTCGCCTCCCGTGTCTCTGCCTCTGTCGTCCTCTCCCCCTCCCGCCTTCCTCGCCCCGTCCCGCTGGAGCTCTTCCCTGGAGGAGGGGCCAGGAGACGCGGCAGCAGGAGGAGGAGGACTGGATGGGGGTTGGAGGGGACGAGTGGGGACAGCAGGAGCAGACGGAGGAGCGGGCGGGGGAGCAGGAGGACCGCCCTCTTCCGACCTTGGGGGGAGGGCCTTGGGAGCAGCCGTGGCCGCCTTGCGGGCGAGGGCCCGGGGAGGCCCCTCCAGCAGAGCCCCTGGGCGGACTTCGCAGTGGGTGCAGGGGCCGCCTGTCGAGCGCTCGCGACGCGTACCGCACCATCGTGATGTTGGACCCCCTTCGCGGCCGCGACGCCGAAGGGACGCATGGGGGACGGCGGGGCGTTCGAGGGCCCCAGGGGCGGTGGGGAGGGGGGAGGAGGAAGAGGAGGACAATTGCAAACCCAAGACTCATCAACGACGTTGCAATCAACCCTCCCGCCAAAGCTCCCTCTCCGCAGGCCCCCTACGAGGCTTCATGGCTCAAGCGATGTTGGCTGCGAGGTGCACATCCAGTGTCCCATCGCTTTACTCACATACATCCCTCTCTTGCTTCTCGCTGTGCACACATTGGGAATCGACTATGTCAACTCAAAAGCCCGGCACTCCCGTCAAGGACGGTTTGCAGCCACCATTTGATGGTTTTCAACCAGCAGTTGGAGCAAGGCCGAAACGTCAAGAACGGCCCGAAGCACATACTTTTGCCACAGTGCCGCCTAGAAGTGCACTCAAACAAGCATGTCTTGAAGTCCTGCTTCGCCCATGAAGGACGAAGCTGATCAAGGTGAAAGTCGCGTTCTACAACCCCAACAGTTACACTTTCCCCGCGGCGCCGCGTCTTCATGAGCCTGGTCGCTCAACCATGGCGACGAAAACGGCAACGAGCCGGTTTCGATGAAGGCTACGCGGACTATTTTCAAGAAACATTTTGAGCCCACGATGCGGGCGGGAGTCTTGGGGACCAGTTCAAATATCTTCAAGAAATTGTCAACACCGACATCCGCCATCTCAGAACGACAATGAAGGCAGATGAGGAGGAGAACAACACACATATTACAAGCATGGAAGATGATATGGAACAAGTATAAGACCACATTGACAGCCGCATCGAGGACACCCGAAAATAAATGGCAGCGCTAAACACAGGTATCCCACCGAGATCAAGTGGGGCATCTTCGGTGACAGGGGCACATTACATATCGACACTTGTACTTGGAGAGCTGACACACACATTACGCTCACCGATGCGGGAACAATTGTATCTAAAGTTTTGGAAGGCGCCGGATGCACTCATCCATCTAAAAGCTATAAAAACACCCCCCTCTGGCGAAGGATTCAAGGGCATGCTATTCGTCGAACGCCCGTCCCCAGAACTATACCAACAACTCTTGCCGATTCTGCAGACAGCGCGTGGACAACAACGCCCAAGGCAACGATCTCGCCGGGTATGGTGCGGCGATCACGCTCCTATTGAGGAGAGGACTATCACGTCATTGCTATCAGGCCTTCGCTATATGCTCACGCAGTGGGGCCTCATCACGAAGTATGTCAAGGTCGACGGGGGCGCTGCCGTCCACAGAGTTGGGAGATGACATGTACTCAAACTGAAGGGTGTTAGCCACGAGCTAAGCCTGGCATGGCTAGATACGGATATGGGGAAACTTCCAGCGACGTCCCCATATTGGTAAGAAAGGCCAGCAAGAGCTTCGGATCGTTCGGCGGCGAGCGCGGCCAAAGGGGCCAGTACAGGGAAACATCAGAATTGAAGGTGCCAAGTGCTCCGGGCTGTCTTTCCTTCTGGGTCCGCAAACCGTAGAATTTTTCCACATCCGAGAGGCCCCAACGGCAGACTTGACAAAGATGTCATCTATCTTGCTGGGCCGCATTGTCATGAACGCCATTTTGGACGACGGGGCACTTCGTGGAATGCGCACGGCGTGAATGAGCACGGCGTGACTCCTGCGAAATGCGCATGGAACCGCGCGACGTACATATTCGACGCGAACAGGAAGCACGGACAACAAAAGCCGAGGATTCTCGAAGATAACGGCGGCAGCCGCTTGCGCGCTGGTTCAGCATCCGCGCGCCAGGGCGCAGCGTCGCGCTGAACGGTTGGTTGTTTGATTCCAGCGTCATGCCCTGGTTTGCGCCAGGGGCGTCTGGGGTCATCGGGGGCGCCCGCAGGCCTTCGGCGGCGAGACGAGCGGCCCGCCGCATGAGCCAGTTCCGCAGGATGATAACCGCTGGTGCCCCCTTCCCGCACCGACACCAGTACTGGCATTGGTGTTCACAACTGGTACCGCAGCACCATGGAAAATTTCCACACGTACATCGCCACCGATGTCGGAAAGCACGATGTCGAAGACCGTCCAGCTGCCAGGGCCTATACCAGCGGGGCGGGGACCGACGCCGTGTTGCCATCCTGCGCCTGCGACGACACCGACATCCTCGACGCTTACGCGTGCATCGGCCACTACGACCAGCATTGCGAGCTGCCGACCTTAAGCCCCTACGACGAATACGGCCCCATACCCCACGACCCCCACGCCCCACAACCACCTGCCCCACGACGGACCCCACGACCCCCCAACCGAGCCCCGAATGGCCGCATGCCCTGAGAGGGAGCCCGTTGGGGGCAAACCCGGGGAAGCGGCCAGAAGGGCCGCGGACCAGCCCAAAGCTGTCGCCACTTCCGCGGGGGCTCGACATCCCGAGTGGCCGCGTGCTCTGAAAGGGACCCGCGAGGGAGGCATACCCTTGGAAGCGGCCATAAAAGCCGAAGCCACCCCCTGGACTCCCCCCGACCTGCCCCGACTGCCACACGACCCCACTCCCTACCCGAACGACCCCACAACCCGCCACCGAAACGGCACTCCACGACGGCCACGTGGGCCCCGCGACGGACCCTGCGCCAGCACACCGCGGCGGCCCCCCAGCCCCGCAGTGACAGCGACGAAGACGACGCCCGCCACGACGGCGACCACGACCAAAATGAAGTCCCTCCTGCCTGCGACGCCGACCCCAGCGGCCGCCAGGACGGGCGCGAAGACGGACCGAGAGAGGACCCAACCGACGCTCGTCCCCACGCCCTTCCCAACGATTTCCCGACGCCCTGACCGACGCCTCGCCCCGCTCCCAACCCGACCCTGCGCCCGACGGCCAGGCGGACGGCGAAGAGGACGACAACGCCCCTTACCTTGGACCCATCGCCCCGACGGCTCCCGCGATGACGCTGCGCCCTGCCGCGACGCCCTGCCCGATCCCCCCTTCGACGCCTCGCCCGCCCCCCTACCCGACGGCGTCCGCGAACCCCCACCCAACGACTCGCACGAAGGCCGGCACCCGAGAGGCCGCGGGCCTTGAGAAGGAGCCCGCGGGGGGGGCATGCCCTGGGAAACGGACAGGGGCCGCTGGCGCGCCGCCCCCCCCCGCGGCCCGCTCGACATCCCGGGCGGCCGCGCGCTCTGAGAGGGAACCCGCGGGGGGCATGCCCAGGGAAGTGGTCACGGGGACAGCCGACGACATCCCCTGGGCTCCCCCCGACCTCCCCCGACTACCACACGACCCCCCTCCCGACCCGAACGCCCCCGCAACCCGCCATCAAGGCGGTGCCCCACGACGGCCGCGCGGCGGCCCCCGCGACGGCCCTCCGACGCGGGCTCCACGACGGCCCCCGCGCCTGACCCAGGCGCCGCCCCCCGCGGCGGCCCCCGCGACGGCCACCGCAACGGCCCCGCCGTGACGGTGACGAAGAGGACGACCGCCACGAAGGCTACTCCGACCACAACGACACCCCTCCCAGCGACGCCGACGCCAGCGACTTCCAGGACGGGCGCGAGGACAGACCGACTGACGGCCCAACTGACCGCCTTCCCGACGCCCTCTCCGACTCTTTCCCCGACGCCCAGACTCACGCCCCGCCTCGCCCCCCACCCGACGCTGCGCCCAGCGGCCAGGATGACGGCGACGAGAGCGACGACGCTTCCCCCCGCGACCCCTCGCCCCGACAGCTCCCCTCGACCGTCGTCCGCCTGAACCTGCGAGCCCCGAACCAATGGCGCTCGCAACGCTCACCTGCGACCGCCCCACGCCCTCATGCGACTCCTCGCCACGACGACCCCGCACCCTGCCCGACTCCCCACCCGACGCCTTGCCCAGCGCCCACGCCCGACGCCCCCACTTTACTTTCAGCTCGTCTCCATACGGCCTCCCCACGCCCGACGACCTATTGTACCTACCTCGGCTACGCGGTCAGCGCCACCCACGCGGACGGCTTGGCGGCCCACAAGGAGGCCTTTCCAACCCGCCCCGAGCCTGCCGCGACGGACGACCCGAGGCTTCTCCCCCCGATGCTACCGACGACGACAACGACAATGGCGACGCGACGCCCCTCCCCACTACGACGCGCCTCTCTGCCGCGACGCCCCTCCCCGCGAACGCCCCGCCCCGCGCTCTGCCCTCCGACGACGGCTGATCACGACGACCCGCAGAAGACAACCTGCCCCGCGCCACGCCGCACCCCCCACCCGACGCTTCGCCCGACGATCACCCCGCGCCCGACGCTTTGCCGCTGCCCCGCCAAAACCTCCACCCCAACACGACGGGCCCTACGCTGGATTCCTGCACCGCAATGCCCGCGCACCCGACGCCCTACCCCACGCCCCACCCCGCGCCCCCAAGTAGATGACATCCATTATGTGGGACCTGGAGGCCCGCTGGATTCAGCGCGTCCTCGCCATCGTCAGCACCGCCGCCAGCGCGGGTATCGACGACGTCGCCGGCGCCAGATCCAGCATCTCCACGATGAGCGCCGACGGGTCAATGTGGCCCAGCAGCAACAGCTACGTAAGACTCACGGGATGGAGGTGGGACTCCAGCCGCTGGGCCGCTTGGCGGCCGACCTGACGCAAGCGACGACGCCCCTCCCGATCCCTCCCCACGACAGGCGCGTTTTGCCGACGCCTTGCCCGGCGCCCACGCCCCCGGCGACAACGACGACGACGAGCCTCCCGACAGCAGGCCCAGTCGGCGCGTGCGATTCGCCGACTCTCCCATATGCTGCACCAGCAACCCACCCACGCAGGATTGGATGGCTACCAAGGGCAGGGAGCAGCTGCACCCTGCAGCCACGACCCCTGCTCAATACTTAGTCAACTCCGACCCGTCCTTCCCTTCCCCCAACCACCTCATGGGCAGCCGGCCCGCGACGCGGGCGCCATCCATTCCTGGATCGCCACCTGGGCCCAGCCATGCGAAGACCTCCCCATCCCACCACCACTCCCCCACGCACCCGACGACCGACGACCTCCCCGCCACCACCGCCGACGGCAGCACCTCTGGGGAGCGCAGGCCTCGGCAGCGGCCAGACCTTGGACTTCGGCGACGCCCTCTTCTCCCTGTTCTGCGGCACCTCCAGGCACGCCTGGGCCCAACCTTCCCTTCCCTCACCCTTTCTTCTTGTAGCCCCCCTGCCCCCGTTTTTGCTCGCCCGCCAACCTGCCCTTCCCGCCCCGGCGCAGCAGGCCGCCACCGGCGGGGGGAGGGCGGGGGGCGGCACGGCCAGTGGCAACAGCATGCGGGGGGGGATTCCAGACGGCGCCGCATTCGGCACTGACCGCCGTGAAGGGGCACAGCCCTCACGGCGGCCGTGGACCAGGCAGCGGACACAGAAGAGCCACGCCGAGGGGGCCCTCGCCCTCCCCTCAGGGGGGCCCCGCTCGGGCCACCTCCCCTCCCCACCTGCCCACCTGATTCCCCAATCGTGCGCTCCCCCTATTTCGCTTCTGCAACATCCTGAGAGCACCCAGCCTTCTTCATCCAGCGCCACAGCGCACGCTCCACACCCCCCCAACCCACGCTGCCTACTCGGGCTGCGCCGCGTCGCTCCGTGTTGGTGGAGGAGGAGGAGGAGGAGGAGGAGGAGGAGGAGGAGGAGGAGGAGGAGCAGGAGGCCCCGACTCCAGGACAGGCGAGCCGAGGTGGGTTCCAGCTCCCATCCACATACGCCCCGCGCCGCCACCAACAGCTTCGCTTTCCCTCCTTCCCCTTCTTCCCCTCAGGTGCCTGCTTACCTTCTGGCCTCGTCCCGCCGATGGGTTGCTCCTTCGGTTACTTTCTCGCCTCTTTGTTTTTTGTTTCCCCTCCCGCCAGCGCTACCAGCAGGGGGGGGGAGGGCCGCAGCGTCCAGGAGACGAAGATCCGCAGCTCGAAGTCCAAAGGAGGAGCAGGAGGAGGAGGAGGAGGAGGAGGAGGAGGAGGAGGAGGAGGAGGCGGCACAGATCGCGTCGTGACAAACAATCACGACGCGTGGTTTCTGGCAGTTTTCTTTCCCGGGGGGGCCCTCGCTGGGCTCTGCATGGGGCAGTCAATGAAGCGGCTGGGTATGAGACGCCGGCCTTGGGGAAAGGGTCGGGAATTCGAGGAGACCCCGCACTCGACACATCTGGGCATCGGATGGCTTGGCGAGGAAGCGTGCGGGGCTAAGACCGGGAGAACTCGCTCCGGAACGCTTTCGGAGCGCTCCCAGAGCGGTCCACACCGCCGTGGAGCGCACCGTGGTCCGATTTTGTCCCAGTTCTGGCTTCGTCTTAGGGAAAGGAAGGGACGTCCTGGCCCGCAGGAGGAGCTGCAGGAGCTGGAGGACTTGCTGCGGCATGCATTCGTGCCGCGCGCGCCGGCCAAGCCCAAGGACAGCACCGCGGGCGCGCCCTCGCTCGTCCTTGGCCTCCCTCCATCGCTGCTCCCTCCTCTTCCTCCTCCTCCTCCTCCTGCTCACAGCCCTGCAAGACATGGAGCCTGTGGTGATCCGATGACAGCACATGCAACAGAGAGAGAAAGAGAGAGACAAGTAGAGAGGGCGTGGGGGCAGGCCTCCTCGCCACTGACAGCGGCGCTCCCGACTAACCCGCGTAATTAGGGGTCCACAGGCATGTACAGGGGAGCACGCACAATCTCAGGAGGTGTGAACTGGCCGAACGGACAACTTGGGGCCGAACGAGCAGCATGTACACACAGGCTTTCAGAAATGACACGGCACATGGCAGACGGCCTTTGGATGGATGAGGAAGCGAAACCACCCAAGCAATCAAAACCAGCCTTCACGTCATCACTGAGTGTGTACAGTCCTGAAACACACAACCTCATGGGCATGCGTTGGGAATCAGACAAGCAAAGTGTGAAGTCACAACATATAGATTGTGCAGCAGTCCAATCGAGCTCAGGTAGCATCCAGGGGGACGGGAGGTGCGGGGCGACTCTATGATCCACATGCAATAAAACCAATGGAATATGTACCATTGCACATGGTTGGGTCTTTCGCCAGGATAATGGTATGCAATCGCTCCTCGTTTGAGTGGTTCTTGGGGACGACCGGGTGGTGCTTCCCGTTTTCGTGCTGCAGTTTTTATCCGTTTCGGCGCCGTCTGTTTTTCCATGTCCTTCGCCTTGTGTTCTCCAATCCCGGTTCCAATTTCAATCCCGGAGCAGTTTTGCGTGACCTTTTCGGCGAACCGTTTTTTGCTGTTCTCATTTTCAAGAGCAAGCATGTCGGGAACGCTGGAACACATGCCTTGCCGTTTCCAGGACAGCTCCCTTTCATGAGGGGGACGCCCGGGACCCAGCGTCGCCAGCCAGAGGAGGTCGGCCTGAGCTCCACGCTGCAGTCGTTGCTGCGCGGCGTCGTGAGCGGGAACGCCGAGCAGGTGCAGGCCGCCATGGCCACGGCGCTGAACCCGCAGCCGCCGGGGTGCGCTGAGCTCGAGGACACGGCCCGCACGCTTGGGGATGGGAGGTTGGAGCCGGTTGGGCGTCCGAGGTGGCCCAGTACGGGCTCCAGCCAGCAGAAAGCTTGTGGAGGGGTTGTTAATTTCACTTTTTGAATGCACGTAGCTCGAAAAATTGGTGCGCTTGGACCCGGCAAGGGGTCCCGGGACCGATTTTGAGCGGATTCGGTCACCCTAGGCCTCCTAGATGGGGCCGGAGTAGATGGGGTCGGATGATCGCGCCGCATCGCCGATGCATCGCCGATGCGGCTCGATGTGCAGCCCACTTTGCTTCACGTCGACGTCGCCGGCGCATCGTCGACGTCGCCGATTCATCGCCAGTGCATCGCCGATGCATCGCCGATGTATCGCCGAAGCATCGGCGATGCGGCGCGATCCTTCGACCCCATCTACTCCGACCCCTTCTTGGAGGTAATTAGCGGCGTGCCATTATTGTTGTTTTTGTTCCGCGAGGTAGGCAGGGAGCGATGGGGGGGGAGGGAGGGGGGAGGGGAAGGGAAGGAGGAGGCAGGGAAGGAGGAGGGAGGGAAGGAGAAGGGGAGGGGAGGGAAGGGAGGAGGAACGGGGGGAAGTAATGTGGGAGGGAGGAGGGAAGAAGAGAGGGTCCTACCACACATGGTCCTCATCGTGTTTTTAGCTAACCAGTGGAGCCCCAGAGAAGGTGGACCATAACTTGAGTTGTGACCAGACCCACGCACACGCGCAGCGACACAACCACGGGGTATTGGTTGAATCGGCCGGGATCTGCTCTCCACTCTTCGATTGATGCCAGCGCCCTGGTACCGCCGCCTGGCTCAAGAGGCGGGGGTCAATGCAAACGGGGGCGCTCGATCGATCTTACAGGATCATGCAGAGGCCAGGGTCGCACTGACCCAGGTTTGGGTGCAGGATCCTGCAGGATTTTGCCGGATTCTTCGCATTGACCCGGGTTTGGGTGCAGAATGTTGCAGGATTTTGCAGGATTCTGCAAGGCTTGATTGATCTGGGTCTGGATTGACCCGGGTCAGCAGGTCCCCGACGCGTATAACGCCGCCCCTCGTGACGATATAGAAGCAGCTTCCAGTCCTTAGCCTCCTTTTTACTCCTCTCGCCCCTCCTGGCGCCCGCGCAGGAGGAGGTGCGCTGCCTGGAGCATCAGAGTGCGGCCGCGACGGAGTTGCTGGACCGCGTGGAGGCGCAGGTTGGCTGGGCAGGCGCAGGAGGGAAACGGGATGGGGCGGCAGGCCGATGGGTGTGAGACGCACGTGGCGGCGTGCAGAAACGGCAGGAAGAAGACAGCCATGGGAGCAGGAGGTCACGATAATGATACGTTCTAGGACTTGCAGGAAGTCTAGCTTTCCCTGATGATCCACGCGGGCTGCAGAAATCAGGGCCGTCAGATATTCTGGAGATCGTGGAACGTGTCTCGAGCCAATCTCATCATGAGTTTGTTCCCGTCCTCCACGAAGCTACGTGCACAAAAACTATCGGAACTCCGCGCGGATTCCTTGGATCGGCGTTGGGCCCCCCTGGTGGCGCCTCTGTCGCCGCCCTTGGCGCTTTCCGCGCGCCAGAGGGGGTCAACGGCGGTCCAAGAATTCAGCGCGGAGCGCCTTTATGCTTATGCTGCTTGTCTTCGTCTAAGGAGCGAGCGGTCGACGAAGCGCGGAGGTGCGAGCAGTAAGAGGAGGTGATTGGCCACAGTTGCCATCGGCCTCAATCGAACCCAAGGTTTGCAGTCTCTCGACCGACAGTTGGCTGTTACATTGGTGCTGTGCGACTCGGACGCAGCAGAGATACATTCGCGCTATCTCTGTTTCGGGAGCGTTTTTTTGCCGTGACAGCCTTGTGATCGCGACGATGCGCTTGGCTCTGAGAGGTTGATGCGCAACGGCTCAGAAGGGGTTAACCAATCCGGCCCGAGGGGAGCACGCGAGCTGGCGCTTGATCGCCTCTGTCGAGGCTACAGCCTGGCAGAGCCCAGCAGGAAGGTGCCGAAGACTTCAGGCTCACACAGGGTGGCAGGCCCCTCGTTGCGGATTGTTTGCCCCGCCTCTGCCCTTCCATTCCTCGTCTTCGGGACATGTCCAGACCGAGACATTCGACGCCTTGATCGTGTTCAATGTGGGGTCCCGAAAGTCCCCGCCCTTTCCCTGGGGCCAGTGTTTCGTCCCGAGCCGATGTCCGGCAGTCCCGGGGCCCGTCGAGGGTCATCCAGGGGGCGAAAATGGCCAGGCGGCTCCCGTCGTGAGCCTTGCCACGACGCGAAGGCGTCTGGGGACCCAGACACTTTTTTTACAGACACGCCCAGAGCCCCGCGGCAGAGGAAGAGGAGGGGAGGGGGGGGGGAGGGAGGGAGGGAGGACGAGGGAGGGGGAAAAACCTGCAACCGAGGGAGGACGAGGGAGGGAGGGAGGACGAGGGAGGACGAGGGAGGGAGGACGAGGGAGGGGGACCCAGGCACGCCTTCGCCGTGCCAGCCGCGGAGCGAAGAGCGCGGGCGGTGTTACGGCGCCCTCCGGCGGGCGAGGTCGGCCACACGGCGAGCTCGCTGCAGGACAAGCGGGAGGCGCTGCGCGCGCTCAGGCGTCCTTTTATTTTTGCCTGTTTCGTCGCTCTGCTTGATGGGCCTGTTTGCCAACTCAACCAGCACCATAAGTTGGAGGGGGGAAGGAGGTGGAGGGTGAGGAGGAAGAAAAAGAAGAAGAAGAAGAAGAGGGGGAGGAGGGCCCCCTCCCCCCTCCAACTTCGGGCTGTGGTGGTGGAAAACAGGCCCATCAGGGGCCAGGACACTGTGAAGAGTGCACTCCCCTGCCCCTCTGCCGCCCGTGCCACCGTGTGCGTATGATGTGTACAGGGCCATGCCCAGCACTTCTTATATTCATGTTTGTGGCATGCACGCTGCCCGCCGCTGTTTTGGCCCTAGTCCTAGGGCCCTGGGACTGCACCGCAGTTTCGACCGCCGCGCGGTCCGCGAGGAAAACAACTGCACTGACATTGGTAGCGGAGCTTGTAAGCTCCAGCGGACGCACTGCGTGCTCTGCTTCGGTGGTCGTGACCACCTGCGTGGGCCGCCATGGCTGCCAGCCAAGACGGCTCAGACGCGGAGGCTGCGTCCTCCGCTGGCACAGGTCCCCCGGACCTGCATGCGGTCCTGCGCGTGATGGCCGAGACCCAGCGGGAGCTCTTGGCCTTGCATCGGGATCGTGGTGGCGACGGCGGTCCCAGACGTACACGTCTACTGCTGTCGCAGGTGAAGCTCCCAGAGTTCGATGGTGCAGTCGGTACGAGTACCAAGAAGTACCGAGAGTGGCGCAAGGAGGTTGAAGTCATCCGCAACCTCAACCAGCTCTCCGACGTGGAGCTGGGCCTGATCATCTACAGTCAGGTGACAGGTCGAGCCAAGGAGCTCATCGAAGTACTTGACGCGTCGGACCTCCGACGCGAGGACACGCTCGAGACCATCTTTGCTATCTACGACGACGCCTTCGAGAAAATTGATCACGAGCGCCTCGATCAGGTGCATCAGGAGTGGGAGCGAGCACATCGTCGAGCTGGGCAGCCCATCGTGGATTGGACAACGTACTTGCGCAAGAAGCGCATGGAGTGGCAGCTCGAGGATCCCACTTCAGCGATTAGCGATCGCGCGCTGGCGAGCAAGATGCTCCGTGGCGCTGGGCTGTCGCAGAAGGAGCGAGCGCAGGTGCTCTTCAACTGTGGCGGCATCTACGACTCGAAGCGGATGGAGGTCGTGCTGAAGGCAGCCTACTCGAAGGTGCACGACACCGAGAAGCGCTCGGTGCCCCCTCGCCGCTCGCCGTTTGTGGCGCAGCGTGAGCACGGGCACTCCTCCGGGAGCTCGGGCGGTCGCTATCCGCACCCTCCCATGGCTCGCAGGCCATGCGTGCTGCGAGGGCGCCCTGGCCAGCATATGTACGAGGTGGAGAACGGTGAAGACTACGATGAACACCACGGCGACTTGGAGGAGGCGCAGCACGACGAAGATGAAGCAGATGAACAGGACGATGGAGACCCCGGAGCTGGCGAGGGGATCATCTTCGAGGACGGCGCCGAGGTCGAAGAGGAGCTGGCGTCGGACAACGACGGGCCTGATGACGAGGAGTACGAGGCACCGGAGGATCTTCAGGAAGCGTTCTTGGCCGGCTGGAGGGCCAAGCAGAAGACGGCAGTACAGCGTCAGAAGCGCGGGTTCGTTGCCCCTCGGCAGCGGGACCCCGAGAAGATCAACGCCAGCGGCTCCTTTCAGGCTGGTCGGAAGCCGACGGACCAGCGCAAGGCTAACAGCCGGTGTGCTGACTGCGATCAGCCCGGCCATTGGCGTGGCGACCCGGAGTGCCCCAAGGTGAAGAGTGGCGAGCGCGAGCCGTGCAACAAGATCGGGCCAAAGAGTGGCCAGCCAGCGCCGCCCAACCAGCGGAGCTCTGTGAAGCCGCCGGCTCCAAGGCAGGTGCGTGGACCGATCATCCACTGGGTTGGCATGGCAGGCAGTGCCGAGGAGCGTCGTGGCCGCGCTCCATGGCGCCGTGCTCCCCAGTCGGTGCCTGCCGAGAGGCATCCGGTGGAGGGCCGAGCCGATGCTCCAGGGCGGATCGTCATGAATCCCAGACCCAAGAGCATGCCTGCGCCGAGCCTACGCCGGGACGCCGACGATGGCCCAGGGCCCGCACAGAGCAGCGATGAACGCGCGCGCGCCCGTGCCAGGCGCGGGGAGGATCAGGAGGACGAGGATGCATGCGTGCGTTGCCATCGCATTCTGGCCAACACCCACCCAAAGGGGCACAGCGTGGAGTTGGAGTTTCCTGACCTTGCCACGGTCCATCACATCGTGGAGCGCGTGACGAACAAGAAGCCTATCTTCTTCAAGCAAGGCCGCTTCGAGAGCCTCGACTTCGTCCAGGGTCGGCTCATGCGTCTGCAGCTGACCACGTCGAAGCCTTGCACGGCGGCTGAGGTGGATCTCGACGAGATCACGGCAACTATGTTCAAGATCGTGATGGGCGGCAATCGCGATACCGAGCCCCGTGACGATCGGCGCGGTGAAGGCGGGAGTCGTGACACCAAGCGTCGTGAAGATCATCGAGATCGTCGTGACGACCGCCAGCGTGATCGGGGAGCTGTTCTCCGTGAGCATCGTGCCCCTCCTCCGCCCGAGGCGGGGGCCTCCTCGCGTTCAAGGTCGCGGAGTACACCGGAAGGCCGCGGTGAGAAGGAAGAGAAGCGGAGTCCACCCGGAGACCGCGGTGAGAAGGAAGAGAAGGAAGAAAATAAAGAGAAGAAGAAGAAGAAGGCGAGGAGCAGTAAAGAAGAGAAGAAAGAGAGAAATAAGGCAAGAAGCAGCAGGGAAGTGAAGAAGGAGGCCGAGGTGAAGAAGGAGGATGAGGCCAGCGAGGAGGATGAGGCCAGCGAGGACGACCGCGATCAGCGGCGCGAGGATAAGGAGGTGCCGTTCACGCCGGAGGAGATGGATGAGATCTTCTGCAGCTGGCATCCGCGTCAGGACATCTTTAGGGATTACCTGACGCCGCCGGCAACCATCCACTTCATCACGAAGAACGACCGCATCGTGCGCCTCAACCTCTACACGCGCCGCTGCGAGAAGCCGGACTTCTCTCCAGCCAGTGGCCCTGCGAGGGCCTATCCTGTATTCGTGGTGGATACCGCAGCGGCGGCGTCGGCGAAGGGAGCGTCGAAGACTAAAGGATCCCCAGACGGAGCTGTGCCTGGACTAACGTCTGCCGCTCCGACTGGGGAGGCCGCCGCTGTTCCTAAGGACGAGGGGCCTCCGAGGACGTGAGAAAGAGCGAGGGGAAGAAACGGCTGGAGGTCTTGCAGCGCGACAAAGCCGAGTTACTGGACCGACTCGCGCTGATAGAGAAACAGGAGATGGAGATGCATGCCCGATTGAACCCAGGCGAGGTCTACGACGGCCTGCAGAAGCGACGTGAGCAGGCACCTCTGCCAGAGCGTGTCCTGCCTACATCTCCTGAGCTGCAGGGAGTCGGAAGCGTGTGGATGAACATGGAGGGAGTTCGACGACGTGTTCATCTTCCAGCGCCTCCAGGGGCCGCGAGCTCAGGTGCCCCTGCCGCTGCGACGGCATCTCCAGCTGCATCTGGAGCCCCGCGCGTAGTCACCGCCTCTGGACGGAGCTACGTCATGAGTGTCGGCGCCACGCAGAGCGACCTGGAGAAGCAGCAGATGCACCGAGCCATGTACGACTCGCAGTTCGACGGCGAGAGGCTGGTCCCAGGTCCGAAGGCGAAGTTCGACCCAGAGCTCATGCAGCAGCAGGCTGCGTGTGTTCATCCGGTGGGCGAGCTGAAGTGGCAGTCAAACGGCGCCGTGATCTTCGCGAAGTGCAAGAAGTGTTCGTTGAAGTCGGTGATCCATTACACGGTGGAGAAGCCCAAGACGGATGAAGGGGGACCTCCCAGGAACACCCCAGACGGAGCTGTGCCAGGACTAACGTCTGCCGCTCCGACTGGGGAGGCCGTCGCCGTTCAAAAGGGCGCGGACCCCTGGGCAGCAAAGCACGCGGACCCCTGGGCAGCAAAGGGCGCGGACCCTTGGGCAGCAAAGGGGGGATCTGCGGCCCACATGGTCACTACCGTGAGGAGTGCCCCCGCAAGGTGGTAGACGAGCAGCCCGTCATGCTTGTTGTCTTGCCCGCGGGGCTGGCTATGATTGACACGGGCTGCAAGCGGGCTGTCGGTGGGCGTCCGTGGCACGTCGAGCTGCAGAAGACTTTGGATGCCATGGGCGTGCCGTACCACAGCATCAACCAGCGCGAGTACTTCAAGTTCGGCCCAGGCGCGCCGCTCTTGTCAGAGCGTGCGTGGTGCTACACAGTCGGCATCAATGGTACGCAGGGCGAGGTTGTGATCTCCGAGGTCGATGTCGAGGTGCCAGGTCTCATCGGTCCTGATGAGATGGCAGAGTGGGACGCAGCAATCAGCTTCAGGAACGGTACTTTCACGGCGAACGGTGTGACCAAGCCGTTGGTTCCGGCTGCGTCCGGGCATCCGTGCGTGTCATTGCTGGATTTCCCGGCACCGGTCGCGAGTGCCTTCCCCGTCGGACAGTCAGAGGAGCAGGACGAGCTCGCAGACGAGATGTTCAGCGGAACTGTGAGCCACGAGGAGAAGGATGAGCGCAGCGTCGCTGAGACCGTCGAGGAGGAGGACACGCACGAGTCTGATAGCAACGACGGCCAGGACGCAGGCGACTCAGAGCTGAGCACATCCCACTACCACACCAGCGACCCAGATTCCGCGGAGACGGCATCGAGTGACGAGGAGGTTTTCATGGAAAACGCGGACAACGAGGTTTTCATGACGAAAGGTGCTCGCAGGCACGTCCGGAGCAACCTGAAGGAGCTGGAGGTTCTGATGACCGAGGAAATGGCGAACAGGAAGCTTCGGGCTGATCGGCAGGAGCAGGACGCCCTCAAGCACTACCAGGAGGAACGTGTACTACCCTTACAGAAGGGGACCCGGCGGCGACCGGGGCCCTGGAGGATCGTAGAGGTCTTCGCATGGGCTTGCCAACTCACGATCCTGGCGGCG